TTCTTCTCTTCTCTTCTCTTCTCTTCTCTTCTCTTCTCTTCTCTTCTCTTTTCTTTTCTTTCCTTTTCTGACATTATCTTGCTAAGTTGCCTGGGATGGGATCAAACTTGTGATCTTCTTGCCTCATCCTCTCAGAGCTCTGGAATTCTAGGAATGCATATGCCACCACCATATTCAACTCATTCTCCAGCATTTATTTAAACAAAACTCAATTCATGTTTGTTGACTGCAAAATTGAAGACTCTGAGCAAGAAATTTAAAGACAAAGAAACTCATCATCTTTCTTGGACTTTAAGAATGTGTAGTCTATCAGAAAACAGCAAACGAAAGGAATAAAGGAGACATAGGTACTATCCAAATCAAAAGATCTCACCTCAAGAGCAGCATGCATAGAGTGATTTCATGACATTAAGGGCAAAAACATACATAAAGTGATGATTTGTGTTTGTCTCAGTGTGGTGGGAGCAAGAGGCTTCTTCCCAAACCCTTCTATATTTCAAATTGTAAAAAAAGAAACATCTCAGCAGCTTTTTTTTTTTTGAGTGAGGCTGAAGAAGGTAAATATGCGAGTAAGGTTCTGGGAAAGAGGAAGAAGGAGAACAAAATAAAACAGAAACCAAAAACTCGCTGTCCCTTTTCAATGTGTTATTTTTGCCATGAAAGTTTCTCAGTATGGAAGGACTAATTATTGAAAGTTTTATTCATTGAATAATACTATTTTGAAGTCAAAAGCCAAAGTTCCTACTTACTTTGCAGAAAATGTGGAATTTGGCCCATTGTCCCTTTTAGCCCAGTCATAGTTTAGTATTACAGTGTTTTTTGTCTTTTCAGTTCACCTGTACCCTGTTGATCTACCAATTTTCTCATTTAAACTAGGTTGTTTTAGTACTCACTCAGATTTTATGTACTCCCTTTTTGGATAGGATTGATCCATTGAGTCATTCACTTATGAACAGGCCTACTCCTGAAATAACCCATTAACCTGTCAACCTATTGATATAATCCATAACAGAATCAGTCCGTTCTTGAAGGTGGAGCCCCATTGACCTTACCATCTCTTAAAGGTTTCATTTGGTCTCATCTTTTAATACCTAACGATGATAATTAAATTTCATCAAGAGTTTCAGTGGAAGCATTCAAATCATAGCATCAGGGGGCCTCATGTCAATGAAATCATACAATATTTGTTCTTTTACATTTGGCCTGTTCCTTTAATATAATGTCTTCAAAATGTACCTAACTGTAAGGACGGTGGGAGGCAAAGATAACCCAAGACCACCAGACTTATATATAGGTGACATGACGTGGAATTTATTGTGCCTGGGTGCAGGCAGACAGAGGGCAAAAAGACCATCTGTAGGAAGCAAAGAGAAGCAGAGGTTTTTTTATAGGGCTTGAAAGAAAGCAAGGGACATTAGGCAGGAAGATATTAGTAAGCATCTGTGGTCAGATTTCTCTGGATGTCTTGTGCCTCAATGGGTGAAGTCCTTGAGCCATCTGGGGTAAATGCTTGGGTGTCTTCAGATGTCCCAGTATTTGGAAGTTTCCATGCTCCATCTTATCTTTTTTGCAACATTCTATGTTTGCTGAGGGCACTGAGCTGAGAACAGCGTCCCCACTGGCAGACAGATTAGGCACTGGGAGAGTCATGTCTGAATTGAGCATCACAGCAGCATGTGTCACAATTTCACACCTCTTGCTGGCTGACTATTCTCATAAATGTAACACCACATCTTAAGTTGGTCTGTGTACTGTGGGCCCACACAGGATCCCGTGTCATTGTAATATGTACAGTTTTCCCACCTGCCAAGAATTCGTTCCATCCCTTTGGGGCAAATCACCCCATCAAAAATTCCTGTGGTAAAATGTAAGCTATATGACTTCATCTCTCTCCTCTTTGTTGCCAGATACTAGCAGAATGCTGGCACATAGCAAGCACCCAACAATTTGTTGAATTATTCTTAGGATCCTTCCATAACCATTACTTCCTTATTTTAATGCATTGTTATTAAAAAATTTTCTTGCAGTAATTCTAGAAATGTTTTGACACTCAGTACTTCATGCAACCCAACCCAGCATCTCCACACGCCTACCTTCTCGGGCTGTACATACCATGCTCAGTTGGCTTATGTGTGCCTGCTCTTTTCACAGAAGTAAAAGATTATGAGCCTCCATTTGGTTCCAAAGTGCGGGAGCACCCTTGTGTTGAGAGCATGAAGGACAATGTATTAAGAGACAGAGGACGACCAGAAATTCCCAGCTTCTGGCTTAACCACCAGGTAAGGAGTAATGACAGCTGAAGGGTGAATAACGTTCATCAAACGGACCCTCTTAGGTAAGAGAGAATTTGTGGATACTGGGCTTAAATCTGAGACCAGGTTCCTTCATTTGCTATGGCCCAGTTAGGGTTTGTTTATAAAGAAAATTTCAATAAAATGGATGCCATTGTTGTAAGTTGCAACCAGCAGATCTATAAATCACAAATAACCATTTGAAAGGGCATGGGTCCCAGCATCCCATCCTTTTTGGCTCTGAGTTAAAATATCCTGCTTGCAGCCGCTGCCGTTTGCTCCCTGTGGCTTTACATCAGGCGTTCAAGTCACATTCCTTGTGGATTCCAGCTGATTTCCTCTGGGATTCTCCAGCTCTGGGAAGAAATCCTAGGCAACTGTGAAACAAGCAAGGCTGGCAGGCAGCTGGAAATAAGAAATGACGGTAGGGTGCAGGGCAGCGTCTGGGCTATGCGTACAGAGCTGCAAGAGGCCAGTGAGGGAAGTGTCCGTGGAGGAAAGGGAAACCTGTCTGTTGGGAACTTCCTGGTGACTTCTTATCTTTTCTCTTCAAGAAATGGAAGCTAGGGGCTGGGGATTTAGCTCAGTGGCAAAGCGCCTGCCTGGCAAGCGCAAGGTCGTGAGTTCGGTTCCCAGTACCAGAGAAAAACCAAAAAAAAAAAAAAAAAAAACAAGAAATGGAAGCTGAGGTAGCTTCTAGCAGAGCAGCGGTTTGGACTTCAGGGAGGCCTGTTCAAATTCATTGCTTTTGGGGGTACTGGATGAGAGCAGCAGTCAGAGCAAAAGAAGAAAACAGTCTTTTGTGAGTGAGGGGACATTGGCCATGTGTGTGACGCACCCAGGAAAGAGCCCTTCATGAGTAATAAGAGCGACGGTGCGCCTTGCTGACGAAACTGCTCTATCTACTAAGTAAAACCCTTTATTGCCTCTGATGAATGAATTCCCTCATCTCTGAAGACTCATGCTAAGTTGTAGGTTTTCCTAACAGCAAGGCAAATTCAGACAAGAAATAGAAACAGCAAATCAGGCTCAAACGGCAAGACAAAGGAGCAGGAAGCCTAGTCAGAGCCAGTCCTGGTCCAGACTGGCCACTTTAGCAACAGACTTCAATAAAATCAGGGTGAGGGAGACCCAGGCTGCGGAAGGTCGGGGCCTCCTCTGGGGTTTCAAGCAACCTATCTTTGACTCTAAAAATCCAAGACTATTTGCATTAACTGTGGAATCAGAAAGTGCTAGACTGGTTTGTTCCTTTCAAAATTTGTTGCTTCCTCTGCTGCATAGTTCTTATAATGAAACCATTATTCATGATGATAAAATTCTGGAAAGAATTTGCATAATACATTTTTTCTCTTAATGAGATTTGTTACCCTATTGATTTCAAGTTAATGCTTAATATTTAATTGAATTTACTGCCTGTAATTACAGTGCCAGAATAAAATAAGTGTTCCTTGTATACCAACAGTAACACTCTATTCCTGACAGGGCCATCAATCAATACCGTCAATTAGGTGAATTATGCAATTAATTCAATGTGGAGAACTCATGGGGTAGGGAGGAAGAGAGAGTGGTTCCTAGGAGGGTTGTGAAAGTTGCTGGTATTGAAAGGCAAGCACTAGTTCTTCAGGGCAGCGTGAGGAGATGTCCGTGGCACCTCAGCCGCCTGTGTGAGAGATCGCCATAGACAACGTTACTGCTCCACATGGAAGGAGCTCACTTCATTTCCATCTACCAGAGTATATATTGAGCTCCTGCCTGCTTTATTTTCAAAAAGGATCTGAAATGGTAGCAAATATATTTGTAATGCAAAATAGAAATTAAGCCAGTGAGAGAAAATTCATGCCACCTTCCTATGCAGTGTGTCCTAGACGAGCTCACTGGATTCAGGCCTTTGGGGGGTAGGATGAACCCCATGAAATGACTGACAGACAAGCACAGGTGACATACAAAGACAGCTGTGATACGGGGGCCAGCGTTATTAGATGTCATCCTTGCCAGCTCTTCGGAGCTGCAACTGAATCATTCCATGGAACACGTACCATCAGGTGGGGTCCAAAGTAGTTCCCCGAAAGAGGAGATGAGGACTCAAGCTTAGCTGGGACAGGTTCTTGACCTATGGTCACAGACAAGCGTTTCAGGATGTGTCAGTAATATGCATAGGAAAATATATTAGGCTGAATAAGAAAATAAGAGGAAATGGGGAAGAATTTCAGCTTGAGGAACTGAAGGGAGCATAACTCTGATGGGGAAGATTAGATTCACCCATCAAAATAGGAAAGCAGTAGCTTTCATGTAGTAGTTAGGCTGGTCTAGGGGCTTGTGGATCATTATCTCTGCTGTGGTTTTGCAAGATGGTTCTGGAGAAGTCCTTGTAGCTTAAGGGAGCAATCCGTTCTCCATGGGATGACTTCTACTCCTGCTTGAAGTGGTCTCCTTTCAGGTGGGGCTGTCAGTCCACAGTGACCAAGGTGACTGAAAATTTAGGATAATGACTGAAGGCTTCTAGGTGAGCACTGGCAGTTGAATTTCCCTGTAAATTTCTTATGTTAGTGTCCTCAATCTTGAAGGGGTATGAGATAGGACATGTAAATTTAGGGCCAGTCAACTTTCTATCGCCAGCTTTTAGACAGACACTCCCTACATAATTAACATGCCTATATGCAGAACTGAGCAAGGATCTGACTCAAAATTTTAAAGAAATAGAGGAGACAGATACAAAATGAATGTCAACCTTTATGCTGAATTTAGTTACCAGTTGGGCATCTATAGGCAGAGTGATTTTTCAGCAAAAGTCCTTGACAACATTAGAAGAAAACACAAATCAAACTTTCAATGAGTAGCAAGTTCAGGATCCTTGACTTCTCCTGATCTTTGTCCCTGTGGTCATCTCTTGACTGTTTCACATAGACTTCACAAAATGAAACAAGGGTCTGTTCCGGTACACTTCTAGGTTGGAGTATTCAGGTTTGTGTTTGTATGATCCAGCCCTGGAAAAGGCAAAATGAAGGAGATAGTAAAAGGCAAGGGAGAGAAAGAGGCTGAGCAAGGATGAGTAGGCTGAGCACAGGTGATTTTTCGGCAGAGAAATTTTTGTATGATACTATAATGGCAGATATGTGCGATTACACATTTGTCAAAACCCACAGCATACACAGCACAAAGGATGAACCCTAATCTGCTATTTGGACTTCGATTGATAATGACTGATGGTGCCGTTCGGTCTTCTTCTCCACTACAGGGCATCCAGATGGTATGTGAGACACTGACTGAGTGCTGGGACCATGACCCAGAGGCGCGTCTTACGGCCCAGTGTGTGGCAGAACGCTTCAGCGAGCTGGAGCACCTGGACAGACTCTCCAGGAGGAGCTGCTCTGAGGAGAAGATTCCTGAAGATGGCTCGCTGAACACTACCAAATAGCTCTTCCGGGGCAGGCGAGGCCTAATCCAAAGAACCCGCCCCTCTCACCAAAGAACAGAGGCAGCAGGAAGCTGCCCCTGAACTGATGCTTCCTGGAAAACCAAGGGTCACTCCCTTCTGATAAGCTGTGTGAAGAGCGGAAATAGCAGCAGTAGGGAGAGATGACAGAAAGCATTCTATGCCTTTGACTTTGTCATGGGATAAGCTGTGTTAGCACTTCCTCAGGAAATGAGATTGATTTTTACAATAGCCAATAACATTTGCACTTTATTAATGCCTGTATATAAATATGGAATAGCTATGTTTTATATATATATATCTATATATGTCTATATCTATAGCCATACTCTGAAAAGAGACAAGGAAAAAGATAAAATATTCCCAAGAAATTGGTTTTATTGGAGAGCTCCAGAACCCGGCAGAGAAGGCAGGAATTCATGACAGCATTAGCATTTGACAATCACACATGCGATGAGTCTCTGACCATTTAATGCGGGAGAACTTTGCATCAGGAGAGTGGATCCATGTCTCAGAGCCATGCTGCAATGCTTTTGCAATAGTAATTCCTTTCATGACAGGTTTTTTCTGGCCATGGAGCTAAGTATAAAGGCACTGTTTGGGGACCAGTATTCCTGGGGTTCCTGTGTGCCTTTGTTCCTCCTGGACTTGTTGCTTAATTTCCAAGTCAAACATCTATCTGTTTTGTGAACCTTTTTCCTCAACCAGGTTCACAAACTCAGCCCCATCAAATAGTTAAAATGTTTTAAGTCTCATCTCTTCCTTTCACAGGCAGTGGAAAATCAGAAAGACACATTTCCCCATCCATGAAATTGCCACATCATCTTCTAATAAGACTGTTCTTTTACATTTTCTCACTGTACCAGTGTTACTATTGTCCACTCAGGCCTTCACCCTTTCCTAAAATGGAAAAACTCCCCAACTGGTGGGGTTCACTGTACCGGAGCTTTTTGTCTCACTTGGCCTGTGTAGCCGTTTCTATGCAAACACTAATGTAATCCATCTTTCTGGGTTCTGGAATGCTCAAGCACATTCTGGCCTGGTGGAAGGGATTTAAACTGTACAATCCCGCCACTATCAAGACCGTCATCCTCCAGGCTTTCTGAACAAATATTTTGCTTGATCAACACAGTGTTTAAAAAAGTTGAGCCACTTTTTAAATATTTGGAGATTTTGTAGAAAAATCTATATCCTAGATAAGGATAGCAAATGGTTTCCAGGTCTCCAGGCCTCACTGTTTACAGAATGAAGGCAGAGACTCACTTCAAAAGCTGCTTCACTTCTCACTGTAAACATTTGTGCTTTTCACTGCCTAGCCCCACCCCTTACCAAGGTCCCATGTAAGAAACATGCGTTCAAGCATTTTCTGTGGCTATGTAATAGGATTTTAACTACCTTTATCTAGTTTAAAATTCATCTATTGGATTAAAGAGGACCTGCTCTGTACGTTCCTTGTTAACCAAATCTCTTGTTTATATGCTAAGAATTTTCTCTTCTGCCTTAGAGATGAAAAGCCTTAACTCCAAGAAGCTTTCCTCGTGGTTACAGATCGCTGTGTTATGTCAGCCTTCCCAGCCTTTGCAGAAATTACTCTTGAGGACTTGAATGTGGGACATTGGAGTCCTGTTTGCAGTTAGGAAATCTGGGTCCATATGGAGAGGAGCAAAGGATGAGCTTTAATACTTCATAGGAAGCTTGTTAACACACAAACAAGTGTTGATGCTGCAAGTAGCAACCTTTTCTTAAAAAAATGTTTCTTGAAACTGCTTATTTTCCACCAAATAGGAATATTAAAGAGGGATTGGCAGGAACCATGTCAGGTCTCTTTCGAATGTGGAAGGCCTTATCTCATTGAGGTTTTAGGTTGTTTGCTGAACTGGGGATGGAATTTCTAGGCACCCTCCTCACTGTGGTGGGTGAGAGAGTTAAGAACAGTTCTCCTGCAGTGCCATGGAAGCGCCCAGAAATTCCACTTGCACCTTAGGATTTGCCATCCCAAATAGCTGTTGCTCATTGACCTCTAGTGGTGAGTTGCTAGAATACTGGTCCATTGATTGATGGGATAGTCCAAGATTCAAAAAAGAGGGTTGTCTCTTCCTGGTCATTGTTAGCAGAAACTGGAATGTAATGTCAGATGATACTGTGGCTTGTTTTGTTTATTTTTTTTCTTATTCAAGAAAAAGAAAGACCAAGGAATAGCATTCTATAGTTCCTAAAAATACTGACCTATGTCACTACTATGCACAAAGGAAAAGTTTTATTCTTTTATGGAACACGTCAGCTGTACTCATGTATTAAGATAGGAATGTGAAAGCTAAATACTCTTTTTATATAAAAAATCTCAAGCACTTATTTTCATGCTATGCATTGTTTGTCTTTTATATAATTAAAATGTTTATTAGACTGAATAAAGCAAAAGTCCTCAGGTGAGCTTCCTGCCTCCGGTCCCTGTTCTTACTAGTTAAGCCCATTTGCCTCACTGCATTGTTCTGCAGGTTATGCAGAAAGTGTCAGTGGGCAAATCCTTTGCAGCGTTCTGTTCATTGTCTTCTTCCAGTGAACGCCTCCAGAAGCTTACTAATACGAGATAAAGCAGTAAGTACTGAAGCAGAGATACACTGCTCTTTCGTGTTGTTCCCAGCTTCTTGTCCTTCTGTGTGCTTGCATGACCTCTTTCCTGTTCCCAGGAGCTGTGTTTATCCACATAGCTCTTGCTTCCAGGGATTGCCGTGGTGAAGACTGCTTCAAAGAGTTTGCATCTCCACATATTTTTGTCCTTCACACTAGCAGACCATCAGCTGTTTCTGACTGCGGCCTTGTGATGGGCTTCCTCCCTGTCCCGTGTTTCTCAGTATTGCCGTCCACATGTGCTTTTAATTGATTTATCCGATGGAAGATGAATATGCCTCAGGAAGTTGGCCACGGATCATTGCTTCAAGGGTTTCTTGTGACAAAGTAGACGATATTTTCTGACTGTACTTGAAACTACCTGTTTCAGAAGCTGAGGGATTTTGTGGAATCTTGTGAGTTACCAGCTAGGTTCCAAATAGCTAAGTTTCTAAATAGTGAATGTTGGGGTTTTCACCCTCAGAATTGGTGACATTTTGTGTTGAATAATTCTTTGTTAGGAAAGGAGGCAGTGCAGTGCATTGTCAGGTGTTGCGCAGCACCCGTGGCCTCTGCACACTAGATGCCAGTATCACCCACCCCCAACAACGACAAGCAAAAATGTCTCCACACATTGCCAAATGTCCCAAAGGGAACAAAATTCCTCTCTGCTGAAAATCGCTGAGCTGCGTGAGTGTTAGTTATAGTTCTGTTTTAACTAGTAGCAGCACAGCAGTGACAAGGTTTACTCTTCTCCGTTTACCGTCCATGTAAGCAGGTCAGATTGCTTAACTTCCCATGCATCCACCATCATGGACAGAAGGAGATTTTATGAGCCTTCCATTACATACAAGGCATAGCCTTGTGGTGAGCAGTGTACATAAGGCTTTGTAGTTGTGTCTTGAACTTGGAAAGCCTTCAGAACATGTTGACGTATACTAAGTTGGTTTGATAAATACCAAGAGTTGCTTTTGAAAAGAGGCAAACTTTTAGGTAAATCCTAGAGAGTAATACTAACACAGAGAAAACAGACACATTCTGCAGGCCTAAGGACAGGAGAAGCTCTTGTGTGGGTGTTGATAATCCGAGCAGAATGCTCATTCACTGAGTACCTGCTGTGTTACTAGATTTCATCTGCCATTAGCTCCATGAGAAAGATATGCCATTTCACAAGTGAAATAGATTCTCAGCTCAAGAAGCTCAGGTTTTATAGGAAGCCCTCCTAGACCTCGTCGCAGTCTGGAGGAGTCCAGTTTGTAATCCCAAGGAAAAGTTACTGGAATTCCAGTAAGTAATTCTAATCTACCACTTCCAGTGCAACCCCTGGTGAGAATAAAGATACTCAGGCATATTTGTAACTGTGGGGAGCCAAAGGGGGTCCTAAGTCCAGCTAGAATGATGGCTAACTGGAACAAAGGTCCTGACCCAGGGCTGAACCCAAGTTTTATTCGTGAAGAGGGGAGTCGCTCAGGGGTGAGTGACTGTGAGAGTGGTGAGAAATAGGTGAGTGCTGTGAGCTGGGCCAAGTAGCAGGCCTGAAATCACCTCTGCAATATGCAGAGAGAGATATGTAGAGAGAGTCTGCATATCACAGATATCGCAGTATCTAGTGTTTTGGGGTCCAGTGCTTCAGTTTTTATGTGTAATCATCATGTCACAGATTCTTTCTTGAAGCTCAGTCGTAGCTGACAGTATGGCAGCTCTTGGTCTAGCTCACACAGACTGCTTGGGAGCTATAGGTGGGGCATCACTCACCTGTTACATTGCTTTAAAGACTACATATCAGCACGTCCCCTAGACTCATTTGTGTTGCTTAAGCCAATTGAAGGGCAAAAGAAATATGTTTAAAAGAAAAAAGAAATATCTTAGCCAACTCTGTACATACCAATACATGGAAGTAGGGCCAAATGCTCTTCTTTTAAGGAGACCCATACATATGGTTTTCCACAAGGTTTCACAAGGTGGATTCTGGCCAAGCCAATTTGTTCTGGAACTGGAACTTGGAACAACTGAAATGCGTGGTTCTTTTTCTGCTTCATATTGTCTCCAGAAGAAACTGGTCTGCCCCACAGGACAAAGGCTGCTCCCTGAGGAAATGCCCCACTGCTCCATCTATAGCACGTGATTTTTTTTCTCACCTCTCCCCTATGGTTCTGCTTGCTCCATGAGAGCTAGAAAGGAGATGCTCCTTCATCTCCATTGCTCAGTTCGCTGTCCACTCACCTGATAGGTGTTATTTAAATACTTACTGAGAGAATGACTGGAAGATGAGGGAATGTGTTAACAGTGCTTCCCAATGTGTGGAGTGGGTAGTGGTATCTGAGACGTGCCAACCTTTAAAAATATTTTAGCAGATCTGCTTTTATTCTAACATGTATTAGGGAAAAAATACATTAATATATTAAGCCAGGGGATTCACAAATCTTATTGATTGAAATATGGCCAAGTAAAAAATTGAATTGGCTTTAAAATATATTAAGTAAATAATGACATTTATTTATGGCAATTGCAGGCGATATGTATATGAATGATTGAAATTAGGACATTCTACCCAAGAAAGCAAATTTGTATCAGTTGCTAACGTTTTTCAGGACTCAGTAAGTGCCATGCATTATTCTCTACTTTACCTTCTTTATATCCTTTAGTCTTTCTGACCAAATTATGAAGTGTTCTTCCATATTATAGATGAGGAAACAGGTAGAGAGCCCAATCTCACTAAGGTTAGCAACTGCTAGCACCAGGCTTTGAACTGGAGCAACTGAGCAACTTAGCTCAAACTCCTACCCAGAACTGGAGACCAAGTTGGAGCTTGAGGGCAATAGCTTGGGGACTGGAGGGATCAAGGCTCAGATCCACTAGTCTAAAATATGGAGGAAGAAGATGCAGTGAGTACTGCAGTGGAGGACATTGGCTATCCAGAGTCCAGGGAGAGAAAGTCATTCCTCAGACACACAAAGACTCTGGACTCAAACCCAAAAACTTTAGCCAAAACAGGAGCCAAAGTCTTCGGACTCTGCTTCCAGGCTCTGTTCTGCAGGGGTTATTTCAGTACTTGCTACTGCAAGGTCAGGAACTTTCCCAGCTGCCCATAAGCTGCCAAGTGCACTCAGCAAAGACTCAGTCCCTCGTACCAGTCAGCGTCTTTTGAGTGGAAGTCCAGCTTTGTGCCCAGGAATTGCTATTTTGTGGTGGCTTTGTTTTAAGCCCTCTATGCAAATAACATGCTAATAGTCCAATCCTGAGGGAAATCCTTTCCCTCGGTGATAGGAAATTTTTCATTTGAGCAAGTGTGTCTGTCCTTTTTCACTAAAGCGTCCACATTGGCATCTGCTCATTTTGCTCACTTTCCTTCTGAAATAGGGTGCCTAGTGGTTGCTGATCACATTTCTAATTAGTTTCTTTTTTTACATGAATAATTATAGCTCCTCACTCTGTGGGCTTGGGGCCATGTCTTTCAGGCCTACTTTGCAAACTACGCTGATAAAGACAAGATTGTGAAGTTGCCTGTATTACGTGGCCTGCCAGTCAGTCTCACACAGTGTAATTTAATTCTAATATGCCTCCTGATCTCTGGTGCATTTAAAAATAACTTCTTAATAGCCTTCCTATTCTAATTAAGCTAAAATTGAACACACTGAAATCCTTGCTCTCTTGTGCTCTTTTTCCCTCCACACATACACACAGTTGAGCCTAAAAACTCGTTTCTGTTCATCTGAACATCTGTTCCCCCAACTTGTGCACCCAGTGGAAAACCACAGAATAAGATAATTGCAGCCATGGTATTTTACAGTCATTAAAATCATACTAATAATATCAGAATTCATAGCAAATGTTCAGAATTGGAACCCTGAGAGGCCTCTAGCCACTAACTGAGTAACTATGTGTCACTCTAAGTGTTTCTATTTTTTGATTTTTTAACATGATATTGATAGGACCTGCTTGGGAAAGTTGTATGAATTAAATGAAATACTATTTTAAAAGTGATAGAACAGAGACTGGTGTACATAAGCTTTATTATTATTATTATTATTGTTAGGGCATTCCTTAAAGGAAAGAAAATTGTGTTGATTTAATATTTTAGAGATATGGTGTTCCCAAAATCTTTGAGTGAAATAGACACCTGAGGAAGATGGATTTGGTGTATCCTGTAACTCTGAGCAGAGTGGGCTGCTTACTCCAATCACTGCAGTGGCTGCAGAGGTAAATACAGGGCCTTGTAAGACAAGAAATCCTAGGTTTTAGTCCACCACCACCCGGACTCTTCTTCTTTGACTTTGTTTCCTTTCTCTTTTGCATCTGAGAATTATCCATTCCTTACCTAGCTTTGCCAGCTGCAGGAAAAAAAAAATGAAACAATAAATAAAACACTTGAAAAAAGTGCTAAAACATCATTAATGTAAACTCTAATTTTTCTTGATTAGACCCTAATTCATTAGTAATATGATAGGCATTTTAAAATATATACGAATATATATTTAACAATCACATTAGCAGCTCTACAAGGTAGGTGTTATTTTCTCTATTTTACAGTTAAGGAAATTAAGATAAGTATTTTACACAAGTTTGTGCCATTTGAACTCATGTCTCTCTCAATACAAGACTGTCCACTCCTCCACACTCTTTTTCCCATATTTATTCCCGCTGTCTACCATGAATAAATGCTGCACAAACCAGCATACTCTCAACATCCGCTGGCATCTCAAAAACAAGCAAAGTGTTGCTCTGCTCCTATCCCAGCAACTAGCCCACCCACAGTGAAGCACATAACAGTCATCTAATAATTTTTTATTGCAAGAAGAAATGAAGGGCCTTGGCCTTTAGAA